AAGCCATTTCTCCCATGCTGGTGTTCCCTGAAGCCAAAGGAAAAATGGAACGCTATCAGAGGTAATACTGATAAGTCACTACCAACCTCAGCCCACCCTAAAATTTGAAATGCTTCCTGAACAAAATGTTCTGTGGACAGAAGTGAACACCCTGGATCCAGTTCTGGCCTTTGACCAAGCTGGCAGTCGTGCTCTCTGGCCTGCCATCAGGGGCTCTGCACTGAAGCAGTCCAAGCTGCTGCTTCATCTGCATGAACATCAGCCCTGGCCTCGGATTCTAGCAGGAAGAGAAGCATGTCCATTGCATTTCATATCTAAGAGGCAAAACAATCAAAATGCTGACAAAAGGGAAAAAGGGTGAATGAGGGTAATCTGAGACCTAGGAGACTGGTCAGACAGTGGAGCTTGGGCCCCTCAACAGCCCTAATGTGGGCTTTATCCTCCCTAACCTGAGCAGTTTCCATGCTATGCTGTGACCATCTCAAATGGATGTGGGTGATGGGGGGGAATCTTAGGTAAATTTTAGGGGGCTTCCGGGAATCTGATGTAATCATTCTGTCTGCTGGGAGTGGGTGCCTCTTACACCCTCCCTTTTTCTTGGAGGCTCCGGAGTGAACAGGGAGAGAGAAGGCTGGCCAAGCTGCAGGGCTTAACCTCCTGAAGCCTCACTTTCATCATTTGCAGGAGAGCCTCGTTGCAGCAGGATTGTTCAGAGGATTTGACGAGAAAAAATATATTTAAAGCACTTAGCCCTGTGCCAGGCACTTAGCAAGTGCTTAAAGGATAGGAGCTGAAGCTCTTGTAGCTATTTTGGACTTCCGAATTTATCTACCATAGCCATCATCAGATTACACTGAGGGGAATTCAAAGCCAAGGGGTGGTCCTGTGTCCCAGGTCACACAGTTTGCTGGTGAGGGGCAGAGCTGTCCCGCCCCCAGTCTCCCCACTCTATGATGTCTTTCTTCGCTGAATCCCTTACTCTCAGGACTCATCTGGCTTAGCTGAGTTCTCCATAAATCACACTTCTCAAGCTTCCCACCTTGGTCCCCTGCAACTGAATCTATCCTCCGCATCTACTCAATCCCTAAACCCTCTTGATGCTCCTTTCAAAGTGCCCTGTGAAAATGTCTCCTCTGCTTTCCTGCCATGTGGCCACGGCAGCTGTTGTTCTGTCCAGAAGCATCTACTCTCTTTACCCATGTCTGGTCCCTTTACGTCTGGTCCCTCCATCTCCTCCTCGGAGAGACCGTCCAGGACCATCGCAGCTGGAGGAACGCTGCCCCCCTTCTCTCTGTCTCCAGCCTGTGGTCGGTACAGCGGTGTCCCCAGCCCCAGTAACTTTCTCTTCTTTCTCTTTGTCTCCTACCCTCAGTGGAAGCTCCCAAAGGACAGAGAACACGCCACCCTCACTCACTGCTGGGTCGCTGGCACTGACATGATCCACAACACACAGGTGTGGGGTAAACACACACCAGGTGAATGAATGCATGAGCCAACAGATGGATTCCAGAAACAACAATTTGGTAACACCTGGACAGGACCAGGGCAAAGACTGTAACTTGCTGGGAGGACGCCCTGGACACCTGTTTGGCCCCCCCTTCTTGGCCTCCTAAAAGAACAGCGCCAAGCTACCCACAAAGACGAGGAGTCTTCCAGGCGGGCAGCCCACACAAAAGCACATCTTGCAGTCGGGGGAAATGGGCGGATGGTTGCTAATTGCGACTTCCAACTGGGCTGATCTTTCAAAAGTTCGAAAGGCGCCTGCCTCCCTAAATCCCGGGCTGCTACCGCTGCTGGGGCTGGAGCCGGAGGAGAGGAGGGGTGTGCCTGGGCGCCTCTTGGGCTGGCACGGAGAAGACACATCTCCTCCTCCCTCCTCCCCCCCAGCTCCTCTCCAAGAGAGGAAGCAATGCAGATGGAGACGAGAAATAAATATTCCTGCCTGCTCTGTGCCACTGCAGACGTTTTCCAAAATGTCTGGCTTGGACCATGAAATCAAGCCCACCCAGGAAAGGAGGCGCTCAGCGGGAGAAAGAGGGGGAAAAGGGTGGCATATTTGTCGGTACTTGTCAGCTTTCTGGGGGGCAGAGCACATGGCTCAGACTTGGCAGCCCCACTGAGGTGGGGACGTGGTAAGTGCACAGTAATACTTAAGGAACGGAATCAGAAATGGGAGTGGAGTGAAGGAAAGCCTGCCAGGATCTCGGCAGCATCCCTAAGCCTTTGTCCGCGGTTGCAGGACTCCTGGCTGGTCCCCCTGTCCTTGGTGTCGAGGCCCGGTCCACAGTACCTGCTGTCTCCACGCAGCCCTCCGACCTCCACCCTGCTCTGGGATGGTTAACACCACTGGGCCGCAGGCAGTCTTCAAAGGCCCTGTGAGATTCGGGCAGGAGCCCAGGATCCACGTGTGGAGACATTCCTGCCACCTCTCTGTATAGCTCGCCTCCTCCAGCGCTGGAGCACCAGCAGGGATGAGAACACAGGCTGCAAATGATAAGTGGGTGCTTCTGGCCTTGGGGGAGCCGAGCATGTGGGAGGAGTGGCATTAAGGAGGGGACGTCACGGGCCCACCGACAGCCCCACAGTGTCCCGGGGTGACGGGAGCTTCACGAGGCGGGCTGTGTGGCTGCAAATGTCTCCCAAAGGGGAGATTGAGAGGATGAGAATTCTAGCATGAACACTCTGGCATGTGCTAGGTCTTCTTTGTTTCTAACCCTGCCGTGAGAATCCCCCTAGCCCCACGTTCCTGTCACCTCCAGACCACCTTTCACTAGGTCCCCTGGTAAGCGGGGAATGTTCCCCTGGCATTAGGGTGGGGTCCTTAGAGGACTCAATTCTGCTCCAGGAAGAGCAGAGAGGCCTTCATGGTTTGCACTGGTTCGAATCCAGTGCAGCGAAAACAGTTGCTCAAAATGAAGACTCAAGGAAAGTGGTTATCTTTTGTGGGTGTCAGGGTAGTGTTTTCCAAAAATGCTGCCTTTAGTTCTGCCTCTTTTCACCATTTCCGTGACTTCACTGAGGAAAGAGAGATTATCTAATATTTCCCACTCATGTGCCCTGAATCCTTCTTTATGAATCTTTCCCGCTCACATGCCCATCTGCCTTCTAGTGTCAGGCAATTGCCAGCTGAATCCCACTCTCTCCAGGAAGCTGTTTGGTGGTGGGGGGAAGCTGGCAGAAGACCTGAGTTCCTGTCCTCATTCTTCCCATTGCTGTGTGACCTTAGATAAATTACTCCCTGTCTCTGGTCCTTGGCTTTTTGGTTCATCAAAGAAATGGGTTGGATAGGGTTCCTTTTGGCTGTGACACATCATGGGTGGTCCTACTGAGTGAATCAAATTGCTATTCTCTGTCATCATCCTCTTCCCATCCCAACTTTGCCAACAGATTCCAGAGACCAAGGCCATCACACTTTAAGGACTAAATTCAATCCTTACACTTGAGAAGGTCAGAGCTGCATATCAAAATAAGCTGGGCACATAGATAAAGTACCCAGGAAATCTAATGTATGTACTAGGGAAAGCCCAAAGCGGGGTATATTTGGAAAGAACTTGTAAACATGTATTAAGTTTGTAATGCAAGATCACCTTCTTAGTTATCTTTTATTAATCAATGCTGCCATTTACTGAAACCTACTATGTGTTACGACTATGCCAAGTCTTCCACTCACATTATTATCCTCATGACAGCTCATTACAGAAGAAATTACCTACTCTCCACTTGCCTACAACATCGGTAGTTAACATGAATTAACACAGAGAAACATAAACCGAAAACAAAAGGACACAATGGCATGCCTCCTACAAACCAAATGCAAACTCAGGCTCAGAGAGGATGAGACACCGACTCTAGATCACACAGCTGATTAATACAGATAATGGGATTTGAATCCAGGTCTGCTGGATTCCACAGATGACGATGTGCTCCTCCCCTGGCCCGTGCTGGGCTCTACCTTGCCATTTGATGCCTGTCTAGGAGATTCTTCATCTCCTAGAAGAGAGGTTTTGAAGCACCCATAAATAGCAGGTCCTAAACTGACTGCCTTTCTTGTGGTGTTGTGAGAGGAAAACAGCTGGTCTACCAGCCAGCAAAAACCTTGCTGTGAGAAATGGCAAGAAAGCACGCAGCAGCAGTGCCCACCTCGCACAGGAGGAAGGGTGAACTGGTAGCCCATTTAAGCCACCATCTCCATGGATCACTTACCTTGAGTCTGGCTTCTGCCCATGACCTATTGCACTTCTGAGTCCATGTGGCATGTTGGCACAGAACTAGAGCTTTCCCGAATGTATGCACATTGGATCATGCGCAGCAGAGGTTGTAAGCTCGTGTCCCCAAGCCCAGGCCAGTAAGGGAATGAGCAAAATGGCAAGGAAAGGGGCCACAGGGAACTGGCAAACACCTCTCTGATCTGTGGGGACTACCAACCGAGTTCCAGCAGACTGCTGCAATGCACACATGCAGACCGAAGGCTGCCGACTGCCTGCCTTATGAAGAAACCCGGAATACTGACATCTCTGAGTTCTCTTGATTCTTAAATGTGGGCAGCTAATTCAGTAAAGAAAGGTGTATCTGACATGGTGAGGACCAAACAAAATCTACTTACAAGCTCTATCTGACTTTTAGATCTCTACTTGGTAATCTCTAAAATTAATTCTCATTTGCAGGAAAAGGAGCCCAGAAATACCTGAGCTAGCTAAGGTGAGCACAGACTGGCAACCCTCTTTGGATACATATATATTAATAGAGAAATATATGTGTCTGTGTACATGCATATACATACATACATATTATATATTCAAAATTAAACAGAAATGATTTGGATTACTTGTTGTTATGAACTGTTCTGCTTATTTTCCCGTGTTATTATTATACACTAGCAGTTGACCGCAATGAACATATATATACAAACCTAAACCAAAATGACATAAAAAGTACCTCGCCCCTAAACCCAAACCCGAATTAGAACATAAACCAGGAAAAGAAAGAAGCTCTTTACTTACGGTAAATGACAAAAAAGAGGAAAACAAAGTCCCCTCATCATATCTGGACAACTTTGCAAGCACTCCTTCCAGGATTGTAACGAACTAGCAAAATAGCAAAAAGGGAAAAGAATCATTATTTCAAACTATAATTGCTCATAATAAAGAGCAACATTTTCCAACCTCCCAGAGACCAGCAATGAGCCCTTGCTCATTTTTAAGTTCTATTATTTGGTTCCTGTCTTTGGGGAAAGGAATAGACTGCCTTTACATAGAAATATTTGACTTATTCGGCTTTCTCTTCATTATTATGTGATTGCAAATATAGAGTGTTACAGAAGTGCAAAGTGACAAAATATTATTGAGTTGCATATAGCATGCGATAATATTAAATGCACTTTTCAAAATCCAAAACTGCGCAAAGCAGTTTTTACGTTACATATTAGCACTACATTTAATCCAATCTATTTTTATTTGTATTTTATCAGTAATTTTGGGGAAACAGAAGTTTAGCACTGGCAAATATAAATGTCTTCCCATTCAGCATTACTTAGTTAAAATTCTATAATTCATGAGGGTGACTGAAATAGCTTTATCTGACTTTTATGTTTTATTATGACTCTCACTGCATGTGAAACGAGGGGAAAGGGGGTTTTCATGATGGCAGAATTCCTTATTACCATTTAACTTTCTGTTTTTAAAAAGCTAACTTTGTCAGGGCTGAAAAACAAAACAAATATTTCCTGCATAACCTACTGCAACATTGGGGGACAAATTTTTATTAGGGTAACATATGCCACATCATCAATTCATCTTCACTGGGCTCACAATCATCAGAAAAATCCTTTAGAGCTGCAGCTGGGTGACATACTATCTTGTTTCCTGGGAAATACAAGCACCCAGCGCAACTTTTTAACGTGTTACATTTTAATGGAAAAGCAGACATAACAAAGCAATATTCACAATGAAACATTTCACCTGAAGCTGAAGGTTACCTTTGCAACCAAGAGTGTTATCATTTCTTTAACAGTTTCTTCAATTAGTTCATCTATTTTTGAATGGTATTGATGCTAAAGAACACAGAAAGACAAACATTAGCATGTTTGGGAGGTGCTGGCACTGCATCCGTCGGTAATTTTTAGACAACGCAATTTATAAATAAAACCTGGCCGGCAGACCTATTTTATTTCCATAGTCCCAGAAGCAGCTGTAAGATTCTGACTCCATGTCTTTGATGAAGAAAGATCAGAAGCTCTTAAAAAAAAAAATGACCAGACGCGTTGTTCCTTACCCAAAGCTTTTGCTGGCTTTGATATGTGTAGACACACACATTTACAAATAGGATGCAGGGGTGGCTTAACAAATGGTCTGGCAGTGTGTTGATCTGGGTCTTATAAAGCAAGACACCGCACTGATTTAATATAGAGGATGAAAATTATCTTTAGGAAACTGCTGGGTGATGTGACTTTGGGAGTCACAAACTCCAAAGGGAATGTGAGCAAGACTGACTGATTTTGCACGAACTGTTCTCAAGTCATCAGATCCTTCGGGTTACTGCCTGAGAGCTGCCCAGTTACATCTCCAGGGGTTGACTCAGTCTAACGGCAAAGTATCTCTCTAGGAACCCTTGTGGCAGTTACTCAGTTTCTTCATTTGTGGAGGAGCAGACCCAGGTTTATAGATTCTCCTGAGACGACTGCTAAGTTTTTCAATTTCTTGTACTGCCACTGTCAATTAAAACTTAAACAGTAATGCAAAAACAAATCCCCACACAAACAAAAATCTGCTGCAAATGCCAGGGAAAAAGGAAAAGCAATTTCAACAGAAGATACTGCATGCCAGCTCCTTGACATTTATTAGATCATTTTAGTATCCATTTGAATTATTCCATATTTCCTTAATAAAAAATAACAATGCAAAAATACTGCTATTTGGAAAGGAAAATGCACTTACCCACTCTTTAGCAAACTTTCAGAAGGATGATTAATTAGGAACAGAAAAGAAACAGTGCAAATAAAAATTAGGACAAAAGGACACATGAGAAAAATCAAAATTAAACAAAGCATCCAAAAAGTTATGAAAACATACAGAAATAATAAGCCATAGTAATGTGGTTTGATATTCTGATAACTGGCAATTAGGAGCAAAGGGATCTGAATTAGGTAAATTCACTTAGTCATAGGTGAATTCTGATTCTAACTCGAAGACTGAGATAAAGTCCCAGTGCAAAGTTGGGAAGTCATGATGTCTAAGAAAATACGGCTCAGTTTCCTCATCTGCAAAAACACCAGGTAATACTACTACCACCCAGGACCAATGGTAAGGGAGGCAAACTAGTAGGGAATAAGGCAAACTCCGTATGAAGACATTTAGCATTACTAAAATGATGATTAAACCAGGGCTAAGTCTTTTCCTGCCAGTCCTGCTCTCAAGCTCAAATATCTACTTTGAAGATCATACTGAGGGTCTAGATGTGAAACCATTTTGTCAATTATAATTGCAATTCAAATATTTGTTCAAGGTCATAAAAGAGAAGATAAAGTGAGGGAGTGATCACCATCAGTCATCTCATTTTAGTTTTTATTTCTTTATTTATTGAAGGATAACTGCTTTATCATTTTAGTTTTTCATTTTAGTTGATTAGAGGAAAATAAGAACATGAATGGTCCATGTTGGCTCTACTGGTAGCTTCATGAATGTAGCATAAACCAGTAAGTGGCATAAACCTTGAGGTAAATAGAAAAACTATCTGCAGGATTCTGTGCTAGAAACACAAAGAAAGATGTCAGAGCAAAAGAATTTCAGGAGTATTGACGAGGCTCCAAATTCATTTTTAGGTCTTGAGATAAGATCCGGAATCACATGCTTACTTTCCTTCCCCATGTGACTGCCTCACTCTGCTAGATTTTCTTTAGCATTACTATAAATGATTCACCTTTATTAAACTAATTATGAGGCTTAACTCAGGAAAGCTAGCTGCAGGCAAAATAATATAATTTGAAATATTAAATGAGGGGCTTCTAACCAAGCAAAGAACATCACTGAGAACAGGAACTCTCTCTTGAAACACTTGGCTGAAATGGCAAACAAAGCCAATAGCAATCACTCTCCATGCTCTAAGAAAGATTCAGGCTTTGGCTTTCCTGGTGGTCCAGTGGTTAAGAATCTGCCTGCCAATGCAAGGGACCAGGGTTCGATCCCTGATCCAGAAGGATCCCAAATGTCTGTGGAGCCTGGGAGCTGCAACTACTGAGCCTGCACACCTAGAGCCTGCTGCGTAATAACAGAAGCCACTGCAAAGAGAAGCCTTCTCATCGCAACTAGAGAGACGGTAGCCCCCGCCTGCTGCAACTAGAGAAAGTCCCTGCATGGCAATGAAGACCCAGGGCAGTCAAATATACATAAATAAATCTTATTTTTTTAAGGAAGTTTCAGGCTCTTGATTGGAAGATTAACAATGTTATTTTGGCTTTAGAAGTGAGAGAACCTGAAACCTTTTCATTCTCTAATGAATCCAAGCTAAAGTTTATGGAGACACGGGAACCTCTTCCTACCTTCAATATTGCCATGCAGAACATGGTCCTGAGCATTCTCCAGGGAGAATCACTGTCTCTCCCTTTCTCTCTTGGTGAATATTGTGATCTCCACGTGTCTACACCTTTCTTTTTTTCCTTCTTATGAAAAAAAGCATCTGCCATGATTATTCTGCTTCTGACTTCCAGAGGAAAGACTTGAGCATGGTCATCTCTGCTGGTCTGTTTCCTCCTCTTCTCAGTGGGGATAGAATTAAACCTCTTGTGAAAGTAGAAATCATATTCACCAAACAAAGTCATGAAAGGATGCTCGAAAACATGATTTAGAAACCCAGAACTGCTATCTGGCAGAATCGCTACGATAGTTACTAATTGATCACTACAATGTTTACATGTGTGCATACATTCTCTCTGCTGTGCTATGCTCAGTTGGTCGTGTCTGGCTCTTTCTGTCCTTATGGACTGTAGCCCACCAGGCTCCTCTCTCCATGGGATTCTCCAGGCAAGAATACTGGAGTGGGTTGCCATTTCCTCCTCCAGGGGCTCTTCCTGATGCAGGGATCAAACCTTCGTCTACTGTACTGACAGGTGGATTCTTTACCGCTGAACCACCAGAGAAGATCTTATATGTAAACTATAATCTGAATTAAATAAAACCTACTTTGGGAAAGGTTGTAGGGCAGGGTAGTATCTACTCTGTTAATCATGTAGCAAAGGGTTACATATCAAAGCAGCCCCCATTGCAAGTCAAATAATTACAAAAAGACATGAATTCCTTTTACCATATTCTTCTGAGATTTATTTGATTGACTTGCTTTTCTGCAGAAATAGTGACCAAGGAATCTGCCTTCACTCTGTTCTCTCAGGAGACACATTGCTCCCTGCAGATGAGAAGCTCCATGAAGGCATATAAATACTACTGGGGCATCTTTTAATTACCATCCCATCTAGATAGTATTTCCCTGGTGGCTCAGATGGTAAAGAATCTGCCCGCAATGCAGGAGACCCGGGTTCAGTCCCTGGGTGGGGAAGGTCCCCTGGAGAAGGGAATGGCTACTAGCTCCAGTATTCTTGCCTGAAGAATCCCATGGACAGAGGAGCCTGGAGGGGTATAGTCCATGGCGTTGCAAACAGCTGGACACAACTGAGTGGCCAACACTAGATAATATTAGATTATCCTGTCACAAAATTTCTTGCAGTCAAAGGAACAATCCAATTCTGTCTGTAACCTCAGTCAGTTCAGTTCAGTCGCTCAGTTGTGTCCGACTCTTTGTGACCCCATGGACTGCAGCACGCCAGGCTTCTGTGTCCATTACCAACTCCCAGAGCCTACTCAAACTCATGTCCATCCAGTTGGTGATGCCATCCAACCATCTCATCCTCTGTTGTCCCCTTCTCCTCCCACCTTTAATCTTTCCCAGCATCAGGGTCTTTTCAAATGGGTCAGTCCTTTGCATCAGGTGGTCAAAGTATTGGGAGTTTCAGCTTCAGCATCAGTCCTTCCAATGAGTATTCAGGACTGATTTCCTTTAGGATGGACTGGTTGGATCTCCTTGCAGTTCAAAGGACTCTAAAGAGTCTTCTCCAACACCACAGTTCAAAAGCATCAATTCTTCAGTGCTCAGCTTTCTTTATAGTCCAACTCTCACATCCACACATGACTACTGGAAAAACCATAGCCTTGACTAGATGGACCTTTGTTGGCAAAGTAATGTCTCTTCTTTTTAATATGCTGTCTAGGTTGGTCAAAGCTTTTCTTCCAAGCAGCAAGCATCTTTTAATTTCATGGCTGCAGTCACCATCTGCAGTGATTCTGGAGCCCCTCAAAATAAAGTCTCTGTTTCCACTGTTTCCCCATGTATTTGCCATGAAGTGGTGGGACTGGAAGCCATGATCTTTGTTTTCTGAATGTTGAGTTTTAAGCCAACTTTTTCACTCACCTCTTTCACTTTTATCAAGAGCCTTTTTAATTCTTCTCTGCTTTCTGCCATAAGGGTGGTATCATCTGCGTATCTGAGGTTATTGATATTCTTCCTGACAATCTTGATTCCAGTCTGTAACCTAATACAGTACAAAAGGGGATCCTGCCTACTTTGGCATTTTTCAGTCCTCTCTGTTGGTTTTCTTAGGTTGGTTTGACCCTAAGGGCTTCCCTGGTGGCTCAGCTGGTAAAGAAACTGCCTGCAATGTGATAGACCTGGGTTCGATCCCTGGGTTGGGAAGATCCCCTGGGGAAGGGAACGGCTACCTACTCCAGTATTCTGGCCTGAAGAAGTCTATGGACTGTATAGACCATGGGGTTGCCGAGAGTCAGATGCGACTGAGCGACTTTCATGATAATCATAACAATATTTCTAAGTTATATTCTAGGGCATTAGGTCATGATGATAGCAAGGGAAGCACTGACCTTCAATGGGATGGAAAGTTTGGAGAGTTTACTTTTGCTTCTGACGAGCAACGAATTCACAATCACTTTGAAAATTATTCCACTTGACTTCCTGTGCTGCACATTTTGCCTTGTCATGGAACAGATTGTGTGTATGTTGTCTTTCTGTTAAGACCATCTGACCTTGGAAATGAGATGAAAACACACTAGACCAAGTGAGAAACTATTTAACACACAATTTCCTCTCTATTGGTGCTTCACAAATTTTAATGAAAAAATAAATATTTAAGATGGAAAAGTATGGTTAACAAATGTTTCAACAGCTGCCTTTAAATGAGACTTTACCCCAGTGATGAAATTCAGGAAGTGATCTTAAAATTGGAGAATGCTGTATCACCTTGTTGGTATCTAGTCCAAAATACCTTAAGGGAGTTGGAATCTAGGTAGAAACAGGTATAAGTCACTAGATATATAATATGAGTTTACTATCAAAATATTCACAAAATGAAAAGAGAGTGAAAGTGGAGTCTCTCAGTCGTGTCTAACTCTCTGCGACCCCATTGACTGTAGCCTGCCAGGTTACTCCATCCATGGGATTTTCCAGGCCAGAATATTGGAGTGGGTTGCCATTCTCTTCTCCAGGGGATCTTCCTGACCCAGGGATCGAACCCAGGTCTCCTCTCCTGCAGTGCAGGCAGATTCTTTAGTGTCTGAGCCAGCAGGGAAGCCCCACAAAATGAAAGCTACATAAAAACATTGGACTTCTTTCCACCCAGTATTGTGATGTCTCTAGCCATCCTTGGCCAATCTCACTTTAACAATTGTTTTACTTTGGAGATGAATATCCCCATTCTACAAATTGAGAAACATCGAGAGATCATTTGCATGAGACTTCCCAATAAAGTTCGGGCCAAGGTCACAGCCACAGAGCAAGATGTGTGAAGGAAGTACATATTTACAATGATATCTGGTTTCATTCTCACTGTTCTCAGTCATTTGGCATTCTGAGGTCAGAGGAGGCCTCCTTTCACTTAGGTGTCTCTGATACAGTTGTATCAGGGAGAAATGGCATGGCAGGTCACTCTAGCATGGCTTGGGAAAGTGACAGGCCTAGGGTGAGTAAGAATCACAGACTAGAGTACAGTATTGGATGGGCTCTTAATAAAGATCATTTAGCTCAGTTGTCTGTGCAGTAGTTCTGGGAAATTGTGAAACATTTATAAGTGTCAGTTATTGTTTCCATTAAAAAAAAAAAAAAGAAAGCATGTTGACTCATTTAGGGGTAAATATATGAAGTTTTTTCTACTACACGAAATAGAATAATGTCCAGAAAGAAGCAGTCACTGCTGTTTAGACTTGAAAATGTTACTATTTGGGAATATCCAAGACAACTTTCTAATCCTACATACAGAAATTAGGAAGCTTTATCACCAATTTTGACAAGCTACATACCTCTCAAATGTTGTGTGTAGGGTACTCTCTCATCTGACAAATGACAGCAAGTTTATGAGAGTAAGTGACTAGCTCAATGTCATATAGTTTGGTAGCTAATGTGTAGAACTCATATGATTTAGTTATTAAATCCATTGGACAATTTATTCAAAGAAACCAAGGCTTCGAGATTAAGCCAATGTCATACTATTCTAGCACAGAATAGATTAGTGGTAAAAATAAGAGACAGTCAACTGTGATAAAACAAACTGGTTATTTCTCATCCTATATCTCCAACTAGGGTCTACAGGTTGCCCTGACAAGGCCCTAAAATTGTACAGTGAAATTTATGAAAGTATTTTTTTTTTCTTCTGGGAAATGGCTTCATCCATTTCATCAGATTCTCAGTAGGCTGCCTGACAACACCTCCCTCCACTCCTTTATCCTACTCCCACTACCCTCTCAACTTCAGTTCAAAAAGAAAAAATCAGAGTGACTAGTTCTGTTCAAAAAGATGGTTCAGCCATCTGATCAGGTAGGTAGGATTTCTATAATCAAGGCCACAGCTGAGTCAAACTGAAGAAGGACTGTAAAAGCTGCCACAGGGAAAGGAAGGTCAATCCTAGCATCACCACCTTTTCCTACCCTGAATGGTGCCATCCTTGTGAAACTCAGTTAAAATGGGCATGCCAAGCAGCTATGGGGAGAAACAGATAAAATGGATTTAAAATTTTTTCTGTTTTAAACAATGTTACCAAGAAAGTGAAAAAATAAAAACCAACCCATAGAAGGTAAGAAAATACCTGTAAATCATATATATGATAATGGTCTCATATCTAAAAGATATAAAGAACTCTCATAATCAAACAACAGATAACAGCCCAATTGTGAAAAGGAGCAAGAGATTTGAGCGAATAGACATTTCTTTAAAGAAGATATACAAGTGGTCAATATGCTCATGAAAGGATGGCCAACATCACCACAAATCAAAACTATAATGAGATTCTGTGTCATCCACAATAGGATGGTGATACCAAAAAAGATGGTTAAGAAGAAGTAGTATTGGCTAAGTTATGGAGAAATAGGATTTCTCGTACATTGCTGACAGGAATGTAAAATAGTGCAGCCACTTTGCAAAACAGTTTGATTGTTCCTCACAAGGTAAACAAAGAATTATCATATGAGCCAGCAATTTCACTCTTAGGTATATATCCAAGAGAAGTGAAACAGAGGTCCACATGAAAATGTGTACAGGAATGTTCGTAGAAGCACTACTTGTAGTAGCTAAAAAATAGCAGCAACTCAAATGTCTATCAACTGACAAAGTGATAAACGAAATGTGGTATATTCATGTAATAGAATATTATTCAGCTATAAAAAGGAAATACGAATACATGCAATAACAATGGGTGAATCTTGAAGACACTTTGCCATGTGAAAGAAACCAGATATCAAGGGTTACACATGAGATGCCAGTGATATGAAAAGCTCAGAATAGGCAAATCCTTGGAGAATGTAAGTAGAGGGGTGGTTTTCTAGGGTTGGGGAGGGAGAATTGGGGAATTACTACTAATGGGTCTGGGTTTCTTTTCAGGGGGATGAAAATGTCCTACAATTGACTGTGGTGATGGCCACACAATTTTGTGAATGTACTAAAAATGACTGAATCCTACTCTTTAAAAGGCTGAATTTTATAGTATGTGAATTATATCTCATAACATCAAAAAAGCTCAAAGGGAGAAACATTTAGAAGGGATGGCACTTTGGAGTTTGAATTCAAAGGTATTTTAATGAACTTTAGATATCACTAAGAACAGGCTTTTAAAGTAGACTCTGTGAAGCCTATAAGATTGTTCAGAGTCCCCCAGAGAAGTGTGGGTGGGTAGGTGGCTAGTGGGCAGTGAAGAAGTGCAGAGGTGGAGTGGAATATGGTAGCTTGGACTCTGGGCCTCCTATTTCTTGAATTCCTGCCCCCTCCATTTCATCCAGAACAATTTAATTCATTTCACATGCTGGCCTTCTTGGTGAGGTCTGAAGAATTGATAGCTAAAAACAGCCTTAATGAAACTATCCTTTTACAGATGAGGAGACTGAGTGAAGAAGCTGAGTGACTTGATCAGCTCCAGTTTGCAGCACCGCCCGGGCAAAAGAACCAGGGTATGGATGCCCATCTAACCTATGCCTTCCTCGGGAGGCTGGCCTGTGCACCTCAGCTCTTCTCTGTAACTCTTTCTGGATACTGAGCCTCCAGACCAGTGGTTTTCACAATGGGGTCTCCAGACCAGCCAGCAGCAGCAGCATCACTAGGAAATCTGTCAAAAATACAAATTATTGGACCACACCCCAGACCTATCAGAAACTCGTGTGGGGTGAGACCCAACAATCTGGGCTTCAAAAAGCTCTCTGGATGAGTCTGATAGGCACTGAGACCGAGAACTACTGCTCCAGATAGTCCTCATGCTGTGAACAGAGCCAGCAAAGAGAACCCTGGCACTCTGAGTTTGACCGTAGTGCTTAGAGCATAGCCCCCCGAGGCAAGGTGCCCTACAAGAAAACCCATCAGGAGCAGCAAGCTAAGCGGGATGGCTGAGGAAGCTGATCTGGAGGGGAAAGAAGGTTAGAGACAATCTTGCCAGGAAGAGAATACCACCAACCACATTTAAAAATGGAAGGTGCTGAAAGAGAAAATAAATAACGAATAAGGAGCAAATATAATTTAGTAAAAATTCTGAGCATATAAGGCTGGTATCGAAAGATCTGATTTAGGAGCAATTTATGCCAATTGGCAACAACATGAGAGTTGCCAGAAATGTTTCTGAATTAATTCTAAATTGGTATATGAATATCTAGCTGGCTTAAGGCCATCGGAGAAAAATGATCATGATAGTCTTTAATCAAGCCCAAGTTGCTGTTTCTTTCTCCTTTACATTTTAAATACCACTTTGGGATTGGAAACTTAAGCAAAGGACTAAACTTTTGGTCAGGGAAGATTCACAATCCACTCAGTCTAAGGAAAATGAAAAGCTTGGGATTTCTTGGAAGTTCAAAGTCTGTTATCTGGGGACTGGGTGGCAGGGTGATCTAATGCTATACATCCTGGGGGCTGTGTGATGCTAGGAAGAGCTCTCTCCAGCTGCCCAGATGCTCAGGTAATGAAATGCCCTTCCCATGAGAAAATGACTTGCATTCTTTCAAACACACCTGCTGTAGATGCCAGTCCAACAAATATGGTCATCAAGCTGGATCTGACTTAAAGGAACTATATGGCCACCCCAAGCCCAGCCGAGAATCACTTCCAAGCGACTGGCATAGTCATCAGCACACACCTTAGAAATTTACTTAACGAACAGACAGCAAACATTCATCTGTGGCTTAATCCATGTTAGAGTGTATTTCTGAAACTAGCAGGCTAGAGTAGATGGAAAGAATTTGTGAAGTTTTCTTCTACATGATCAATGGAGGGGGGGGGATGAAATCTGTATTTTTTTTTTTTTTTTTTACCTCTTGGCCCATTTCCATGCTGCAAAGTTTTGTTGATTGAGCTTTGGCATCAACCATAACATTAAACATGGTGCATATTGACTGTGGGACTCGGAAATCTGTTGATCGACTGGTTTTTTGCAGCTTAACTTCAAATGCAATTCTGGTTCTATTAAAACAAAGTAGGAAAAGACCAATTCAGCATTCAGATGGCAGCAGGTGGAGGAGACATTTTCTGAGAGGTCAGTGAAAAAGAAAATTGAAGGCTGTAATCAGTTTCAATTGACAACGACTTCACATGTGTTCTTTTAAAAGTGACTTTCCCAGCTAAGGAAGCCTATTCACAGAGACAGCCATGTAAACCCTTCCTTTCTCCACAGCACATGGAACACCTGTAGCTCGGCGTATTTCTGTCTATAGTTTACATGCTATGGAGAACCCTAATTGCAGAAGAATGAATGAATGAACAAAAGCTCAATTACAGCATTATAGCATATATAAGTTTGTTCACATTTGCACCTGACTACCTTGAAATACTTCATTAAAAAACAACAACCCCCACCCCCAAAAGCAGTTTCTAATGTTAGAAAATCTCATGGTGGGAAATATCTTAAATGGCATTATTTTTTCCCCCCTTTCTTGTCGTGAAAGAGAGAGACATAAAAAAAAAATTCAACAAGTTTATTATATTGCTCTAAAGACTAAAAATATAGAATGGTTACCTTTGGGGAGGAGACTGAAATTAGGAGGAGGGGTCCTGGAGAGTGCTTCTATGTTTTTTTTGGACTGTTGCTGGGTTTTTGCAATGTTAAAGTATTGCTTTGCAATAAGATTATATTATTTTTACAAGTAAAAGCATCATAATATACTTACCATTTCAAGAAGTATACAACGGTGGAAACTTAAAGTGACTTAATTTTGACATAGGTCAAATTATGATCCCATCAATGTGCTAACTGCTCACAGGAAAAACCTAGTCTGACATGAGCAGGTGGTAATACAGGGCTGAGATGTAATCTTTGATATCAGCATTGTAAAGGGGACCAGTTACGATTTTAAGAGGTTTCAGAGAAGTGGGTCAATGTCATGATATGTCTTTTAAAAAAAAAAGCACCTGGTGAGTAAGTGGCTTTAATAAAGCTCCTTCCGTCTGGTGCATCTTTTGAGCACTGTTCACGGTCAGGTTCTGGAGATCACGCAGCCACGAGGAGAGCACTGCTTTAAGAGGTATTTGTAGCAGTTTTCTAACAGTGCATAGGGAGGACCACACAGCTAGTTAGCTCAGGAAAGGATGCCAGCTTGCTAACACACCCTGGGTGCATGCAGGGAAGCCAAGTATAATTTCTAAGGTTGGAAGCCCAGTTCTTAAAGAAAAAAAAAAACTAAAAGGAAAAAAAAAAAAAACCCTTAAAACACTCCTATATATTATATGATCATGTTAAAGATAAATGTATCTTGGCTCCCAAAGACTCGGTGCACTGAAGAAGCTTTCTAATCATGATGATCATTTGAAGCTACATTGAAAATACACTGCTTTCTGGTTTTGTGAAAAGGGGGCCTGATGCGGACTGACGTGGACAGGTCCCTGTGCTGATCTTCTGAGGTTTGTGCACCAGTTCCGGCCCCAATTTGAGAAATGGAAATGCTAAATCACTCCCTTACAATGAAGTAATCGTCTTCTGTTTTCACAGGAGAGCTGTTCAGAGCCCTTGGAGTGTGTGGCTGTGAAAAAAGGAAGCTGAATGCAAAATTAATATGACAAAGAGGGCTCCATGGGATGGGAAAGCCAAGGTCAGTTAATACACTGCCTCTCAGAGGGTGGTTAGGGTGCCTTATTTTGTGTGGATCTCACATAAAGGAGACCAGAGGCTCCATCAAATGTATGATTTCGATTGGTGAGAAACTTGGAAATAAGTGCCTGATTGACTTTCAGGCACTGCGCATTTACATCTATGCAATAATGTTCTTGTCCTTCTAGAACAAGACCCTTTTATTCTCTCCCAAAGAGGAAAGCTAACGTTATAGGCTCTACTCATGTGCATTCTATGTCTTACAACATCCAAGGCCTTCTTCACTTTTTAACTTCTGAATCTGGAGATCTGGGGATGGTATTTGCCACTATGCTTGCCCTGATCTGCTTTTGTTGGGGCCTCAGTTGAAAGGGACATCGGGAAATGTACATGTCCAGCTCAGGTACATGTGAAGCTGACCAACTTCTGTTCACAAAAGGTTACCTAACAGCTCCTCAGGCATGAGGAGGGGACCTGAGGAGGGTGAGGGGCTCAGAACGAACAAGACACACTTCCTGCTTTTCAGCAGCCCAGTCTTGGAGGTGGATGAACCATAAAGATGTGTGGTAAGGGGAATTCCCTGGCCGTCCAGTGGTAGGACTCCGAACTTTCACAGCCGAGGGCGTGGCAGGTTCAATCCCTGGTTGGGGAACTAAGATCCCGTTAGCCAAGCCACGTGGTGAGGAAGGAAATAGAATCACTATCTACCTTTTACATCCCTTGTCTTCCCTTTTCCTTCCAGCATCTCCCTATTTCTTACTCCATACTCAGAAGTCTGGCTTCTCAGGAAAGGGCAAACAAGTCTTTATGTACAATTGTGTGCACAGACCAGAAGCTAGTAAGGCTTCTTTCTAGTGCACTGTAGCCACTAGTTGTAGATCAAGGGAGAACTTTTCAGCACAGGGAGACTGCGCTGCAAGGAGTTTTTGGTGGGATGGTATGACTTTAGGGAAAGATTTGCTTTTCCTAGAAATGAGCATGTAGGAAATGGTGGAAATCAAAACCCTAAGGAAAGATTTTGACCACTGGTTTGAGAAATAGGCTCGCCTTTGGTTCTACGATTGGGAAAAAAATAGTAAAACACAAAACCTGAGTCCCTAAGACTTGAAGCTCTTAGAAGTGCCATCAGACACCTGCCCAGAGTCCTTGGTGCACACAGCCCCTTTCCCAGTTCCTGCTGAGATGCTCCCCAACCTGGGACTGTGCTGTTCTTTTGCCTTTTTGGCTTCTAGTTTTGATGTTATTCCTTCTCTTCTGTTCTTGCAAGATACAAGATACCAGATTCAGATCACTCTCAGCCAAACCCAGCCCCCATCACACACAACTGATCCATCAACTCAACTACACAACATCTGGAGATCCAGAGGAATCTGTGGTGTCCAGGTGACTGGGGGGTTTTGTGAGCGAGGAAAGATAATGAAACAGTTATGAACTGGAAAAGGAACTTGGATGTGTGTCTGGAGATAGACAGGGTGATGATAATGATGTCAAACCAAGGCAAATCTCTATACCTCTGATATTCAGATACAGACACTCCAAGAGGGAAGGGATGTGATCTCCCATCCTTCTTGGCATGCCAAGAACTCAGCACTGTGCCTGGCAGACAGGAGGAGCCCAAACAGTTTTTGTTGAGTGGATGTGTCCTGTCCTCATTTTCTTCTTATTTCTTGGGAAACTCTTACCTAGAAAGGCAGCATTCCCACCTCAATCCCATAAGCCATGGTGACAAAGTGGGCAATGTGTAGGAAACCAAAATGTACAATTAATGTCTCATGCCCGTTTGTTGCGATCTAGTTAGATTCTGGGCAAGATAACTCATGGTCAGCATGTGGTACGTGCTCACAAAATGAACAGTGCTGTGGAGGTCTTGTCCACATCACTGGAAAGTCAAGAGATGCCTGCTCCCTGTGCTTAAAACAGTGGATTAGTAGGTTCTCCTCTTTCTCTCCAGCCAGCTGTCCACCCACACATACGTTTAACAAATACATATTAACTAAACATTTTGTGCCAGACACTTATGGGAATTAAGGATACAGAGACAAGAAGGACCCTCTCCTCACAGAGCTGAATGAAAACATGGGCAGCCTTATTTTGTGCCCTCTTTTGTTGGGTTTGGCAAGATGTGGGAAGGGGAACAGAAGCTATAATGTGGCCACCACTCCAGCTGACTATGACAAGCAGTCACCTTCTCCCAGATGCTCCAAGTGACGGCTGACTCAGAGCCGCCACCCATCCCTTCCTGAGTCAGTCCACAGCGGGGAAGGCGTGCAGAGCCTGTCCAGCCACCTGTGCTCACCTTTTGACACAAGATTCGATCATGTCACTTGCCATTAGCTTCAGCCGTTGTTCCAGGTGCTTTCCAAACTCCTCTTCGGGCCAGTGCAAGTCCCGAATGAAGGTCTGCAGGGCATCGAGTTTCCAGAACAGATCTTCTGAAGTGCCTGATCCATTACTGGCAGGATAAAAATGAGAAAACAAGAGTCACCCGCTGGCTGAGGGTTCTGCAAAAGCTGACACGAGAACAAGGGGGGGACTGGAAGGCTTAAGGCAAACAGTGGCTTCCACATACAAAACGACGGGTGTTGGCGGTGGAGGCGGGGGCAATCTCCACCGGCGATTAGAGTTTTACCATACATGACTTAGCAGGCTTTGTTCGGCCAATTATTCCAGACCCGTGAGAGGTCTGAGGACGTGCTGCCCCATCACTCCAACAATGTATGGTAAAAATCAGCCTTCTTTTAATAACCACATTAACACATGTGATGATTCAGATGAAGGCCACGAACCAGGGGGAGAAGTAGGTCTCAACGGATAATAACTACATGGCAACATGCAGTTATTAGAATTCAGGGTTTCATGCATTTCCCCAGCTCCCCTCCAGAGTGGAGGCCTCCTGGAGACTGCACAAGACTTTCAGTTGTAAAAGGACAGTGCTAACAAAGTGGTGAGCGAGGACCCACTTTCTCCCTTGAAGAGCTGGAAAGAAACTAGGGTGACTCAAACCAAGCCGAGTACACCTGGATGCCTTGAATCTGAGATTCTTGCTCAGTTTGGTTATTATTCCAATTTTCATAGACCAGCCCATTGCATGGCAGCCCCAAGACAGGGTGGGTTGTGGGGGCAGGTGAGTGGACAAGGAATATTTGCAAAGCTTTAGGGCACAACACCCGAGCTCCTGTGCTGGTGCACCATCTTACCCAGTCCTCTGTACAGATGGAGAAACTGGTCTCGATTCCTTTCTGTACAATGACGTTTAAGAAACATTTACCCAGGGCAGCGACGGAAAGCCTGTGTACGGGAACTGCTCCACCTCCCACCCTCTCAACCTCCTCTGGCTGGCTTCCTCTTTGAAAACAGTTCCACTGGGAGCTCTAAGGGGTGGCCATCCCCCACCCCCTTCCTCGCATACCACTAATGCTAACACGGCAATTTATAAAATGTCCAACATACCATGCATTACCACTTGTTCTGACATCGTCTATAGAAACAGATGAGAGTGGGTGTTTCTATTGTGACAGATGCCAGCTGCATTGAATTAATGCTTCAGAGAGAGAAATATAGCTAGTGCATAAGTGCATACACAGCTACTGCGGGGGGGTGGGGGTGGGGGGGCAGACTCCCAACATGCCAGGAGGGAGCCCACGGCCTGCACCAACAGGGTCACGTTCTCAAGGACAGACCAGTCTGAGGTCAGTACGTAGATGTATCTGACACGAAGGAGCAGGTAACATGGAAACACGTCCTTAAAATGAAAGGTGGCAAAGGAGGAAACTGAAATTATGAAAAGATATAGAATCAGGCATTTCCTGGTGGGTGACTGAGAATCTACGCCTTCTTTTCAGATACTGTGATAGGCACTGTTCAAAAGTGGGGGAATGCATCATCAAAGTTCAGCCTTCCCCCTATCCCGTCCTAGGCTTGGGAAAAAGAAACCCCAACTTTGTCTAGTCTAAACCCCGTTTTGGAACTGCATGGTTGTATGTTTTAAATCATTAAGTACATATGAATGCAATAATTGGTATTTATTACAACAACATTTTGACACCCATCTGGTTTCAGAGTTTCAAAAAATTCTTCTAGGGTTTTTTTTCTTTTTTCTTTGAAGAGCTTATTATTAAGTTTTGACATGAGGAAAAGAATATTTTCTTTTTATTTTTAAGATAAACTGTTAATGTTAAGGCAATAGCACCAAGATTATTTTGATTGCTGAGCAGTTACCAAAATGTGTTCCCACTCATGCCTTAATTAATTGAACGGAGACCATTATCTGCTTTATTACAATGTCTTGATTCATATCTTTTCAAAAACATGTCACAGAGCATGCACAGAAGGAGGTAAGGGAAGCTTTCAGATATTTATTTTTAAATTTTTAACAGATACTACCTAATCTAACTTTTCATATAGTCATCTTAGCATGAATATGATTTATGGTTTTTTTTTATTAAGAAGTTTTTTTTTCCCCTCCAAGATACAAATTTTGGAGGTTTTAATTTTTCTTCGAAAGAAAATCAGACACATTGACCAGATGATTTCTTTGTGAACTTTTGAGCAAATATATGAGTTTTAAAAAAACGTTAGGCGGCTTTGGAGGAGCCAAGTAGAGCAGTCATTCTAAAGTTCTGTTCTCTACCTGGATTACTGCAGAAATAAAAACATGGAGGGCCATCTTGATGCATGTGATTCTGAGATTTCAAAACATCACTGCCAGTTTCAGATCATTTTTTATTCCTTTGATAATAACACTTCCCTTTGAAAATGTGCCAATTTATTCTTTCAAGAAAAAGCTTATCTGGCCTATAATTAGCTGTGGTCTAAGACAAGGATCAAAGGAGGGTACAGGATCACTAAACCTTCTTTCACTTATTAAATCATGCATGTGGTTCTAATTTAATTTTCCTGAGGGAGGATTTCAGGGTGCTGGATCTTCTTCTTGCTTAGGAAAGAAGGAGAGAAGATTCATTTCCTAGGCTAGAAGAAACGACTTCTCAACCTCTACCCTTCCAGCTGCTGGCTTTAAAGGGGTGACCTGACCTCCATGGAAAAAGCCCATAAATTGCTGGCATTTGGATGACTACAGAGAAAGGCCCTACACTGAAACCACACATGATATGCTCATCCCCAATTTAATGGCACTGTGTTCTCAGATCCAGAGATCTTCTTGCTATCTAGACCTCAACGCTCCAAACTGTATTATGACCTTGGAACGTACTTTAAATAACATTTACATTACTAAGGCTTGATCCATTCAGAAATTTTTGTTTAGCCCAGAACATACCATTACTATATTCTGCCATTTGCTGACACCAGAAATATGCTTTATGGTTTAAACATTATCTAGGAATTTTTTTATTAAAAACAAAAAAACCAAACCAGCTTCTAGATAGGTGTGCTTTTCTCTCTGATTTGGATCAAGCCAGAAATGACTGGCCAGCCCAGCAAAGAGGTTTCCTAGACTATTTTTGGGTGATTAATTTCTAAGTCATGTCACCTGGATTAGAAAAAAAACAACAATAAAAAAGCAAAACATGGGAAGAAGCCTTTTGCAAAGGAATTCAGGAAGTGAAACACAGTTCTCAAACATTCAGTGGGCGTAAGACAAATTGTTAGTGCGGTATATATAGCCAACGTCTTATAAACACGCTGCATGCCAGAAATAAACAATATTGTCTCTGTATGATCAGCAAAATATGTCTAATTATCCATCTCCATCTCTGTTATATAGGATGTATAGAAATAAACAATACATATCCATGCCAAGATCACTTAAATTTAAATGAGATCTAATGTGAACTGAATACACACTCAGCATCATATATAGCAGCCATCCATGACGGTGCCGAAAAAGTAGGCATTTGTGGGATGCCTAGAGGGATGTTAACTGGTAGATTTGGTACTTTGGGAAGGTTCACATTGGGTAGGTTCACATTGGGTAGATTACTGGTTAAACTCCTGTGGAAGAAACAGACAGAAAGAAAAAATACCATCACAGTGACAATGCAGATGTGGCAGAAGCGCACGACAGCTGTAAATAAACAGGCCAAGTCCACAGAAAGACAACAGTGAAAACTTAAGCAACACATTTCAGAAAGCAGCTTACGGATGGGGCGCTGTGGTGTGGCTCAGTTGTTCAGAGAGAAATGATAGGAATTAATGGGAAAAAAAATTAACCACAGAGCGACTGAAAAGCGTGGACACTCATTGACACCTATATACAATGATGTTACACATGTTATTTCAATGCCTGTGTGAGGGGCTTTCAGTTTCCAGATCCACTGCTGTGAGGGTCTGGACCTGTCTCAGACAAAAAATTTTAAGTTGAGGGAATTCTTGGCCTTGCTGTGGCTAGGGCTGCAGTGAAGTAGCTGGGACTGACAGAAAGGGTAGAACACTTTGATTTTTTCACTCTTGTTTCTGAGTTATTTTTGATGGAGGCACATTTTCTTAAGTCAGAGAGTAGGTACAAGATGGAGCAGGAAATTCACCCACTTGAACCCATACATAATGATAGTGGACAAAACCTGAATTCTTTCCAACCCCTACTTCTGAAGACAGTGTATGTGCAATGGGGCATCAGGGTTGATGGCAAAGATAAAGGAATTGTGTCAAGAGGAACAATTAGCTTTGTATAATTTTATAGAACACTTAAAGAAAATGGAGACCTCCCCTCCCAAACTAAGTCTAATTAATGTGGAGAAATGCTTACACTCAAAAAAAGGAAAGGAATCCCAAATTCAGCTCTCATAGTAAATTCTTTGACCACAAAAGGATTTAAAATGCGGTCTTCTGCTATAAGCAATTACTTCTGAAAGTGAGATAGAGGAAAGGATGACAGGGCCGTGTAGGGGGCTGGGGATATTCTGTTTCTTGATGTGTGTGATTGTCATTTGAATATTAATCAAGTTTTATATTTTCTGTAAAAAGTCAAAATTTAAGTTAAAAAGTAATAAACAGTTAAAAATTGTGACCTTGTATCAGGTTTTCTTTTTGAGCAAAGATTGATCAACTGAGGTGATGAAAGAGAGATGGATGGCTTTATGAGTAAAGAAAGGAAGTAAAACAAAACGAAAACTCCAAAGCGAATCAACCACCTCTCTTTGGAGGGACTGTGTCATACACTGCTCAACCAGCTGGCATCGTGCGATTCTGTAGTGGCATTTCAAGGGTGTTCCATCCAGCCAAAGTCACTGGCACAGTGGAGCCCAGCCTAACTCTGCATCTGAGAGGAGCCTTCCTGTTTAAGTGGAGTTGACAGCATTTTGGCAAAGAAGTTGAGGTTTTCTTTTTGGATCTTGCAGAAGAAGAGCAAGTTTTGCCAAAGCAGCTCTGCCCCGGGCAAGCTGTATTTGACTAACACAGCTCTTGCAAAGGCTGGAGCTGCCTCTGGGCTTGCTGAGGGGGGCAAATCTCCTGATAGGTTTGAAATTTTGGACCCCTGAGATAATCTGGACATCTGTCTCCCTCTAGAAATGAGCTGGCCTTTCATAATGGGAATAGAGCCCTGGATGGTAGATGGAGGAACCTAAGATGCAAACTTGCCAGCCCGGCATTCTCTTCCTCAAGGGAAACAGGTGTCTCGAACGTTTGTCCTTAACACTTCACATTTGGGGAAAGCCAATTACACTTCTCTGCTTGGGACGAAGGGGCGCTCTCGTGGGAATGATCAAGAGCTTAGCTAAAGCTATTAAGTAGAAGGAAAATGGAACTCTGACTTCCATGTTTCTGTTTAACTGAGGAATCTGACTTTGAATTTGGTCCCTGGTGGTTCTCATTCTTAAACACTGCTATGCAATAAAACCATTGGCGATTTCCACTGAGACATGTGTAAGCCTATATAAGCAAATGTGATCATTAAATGATACACACACTGAATATTGATCAAGGAATTAGAAGATCTTTCGAGATGGCAGCTTGGAAAGTTAAAATGTCAATTCTGAGCAAATTAAAAGTAGCTAGGAATGAATAACATACAAATATATGCAACAGCAACTCAATTTAAACATATTAGCGGAGGGTGGGCACACAAATTAGAAATGAGTTTTGTTTTAAACATGAAAAATTTTTTAAATACTTAGATTAATCAAAACATATTGTATTGGCAAAATATGACATTTGGCCAGACTGCTGTACTGGACTCATAGAAACATTTTCGTTCTGTGACATATCCTTGTGATCTAGTTTTAAAAGGCTGAAGAAACATGCTTGACATTTCTGATTTTAGCAAAATAACATTGTGTATTACTAATGTTATTGATAATTCATTTTGATATTAATAACTTATATTAATCATCTAAGAGTCAATTTCAAGCATTATATGTGACTCATATATATGTGAAAGGGGGAATTTTCCTGTAGCACTCAGGTCTACAGGCTCCTGCAGTGGCTGATGGATATGACAAATTATTACTTTAGAAACAAGTCCAGCATACTTCTCTGTAAAAATCATAATTGGGTATCTCTGGATAGTGTAAGAAGTGTAAATTGCAATCGTTAACAACAGATACATGTTAAAATTTGCTATTGTAACAACAGATTAATGTTAAAAATTAAGACTCATTCATTTTGGGTACTGCTGAATGAGTTTGGGGACATTTTCATTTTGGAGACCTTTTTCAGGGTAGCTCCCATTCATGTCAAAGTACTCATCCCTGGAGCACTAGATTAAAATACTCTCAGTTGCTCTCTCTCACAAAAGGATGAAAATTACAAATGTGTACACATCTCATCATGTCTATGGATGATAGAGTCATTCCTTATTTCCAGGATTAATTTTGGGGCTTTCCTGGTGGCTCATAGGGTAAAGAATCTGTCTGCATTGCAGGAGGCCTGGGTTCGGTCCCTGGTTCGAGAAGATCCCCTAGAAAATGGCATGGCAACCCACTCCAGTATTCTTGCCTCGGGAATCCCATGGACAGAGGAGCCGGGTGGGTTATAGCCCACGGGATCGCAAAGAGTTGGACACAACTGAGTGACTAGCACACTTATGTCTTGGGCAGAGAGGGTATTGTTGGGTCTTCTCTCAAAGTCTTCTGCTTTAGATTTCTGGATGGGGTTAGATTTAAGACACAGAAAGCCTTCCATTGTATGAACCGTTTGTTGCCTGGATACATGTAGTATATCTTGTCTTGTCTGTGTGCTCTGAACACTAAAACTTCTTTCCTGGCGTACTCTTAGGTCTAATCCCTACTTTGGTCCATGGGGCACTCTTGGATATCTTTCTAGAGTTTAGAGGGGGTGTTTCTCAACTTTTTGTTTACTATCACCACCCGCGTTCCCCATAAGAGTCATTTTTCTTGTGTGCATGTTGCTCAGACCCAACCAGATTGAAACCTCCATTCAGGGGAATGTATCTCTTTTTTTCAATTTCTTTTTCCCATAGTTCTCCTGTGGTACACTTAACAGTTTTCAGCCTGTAAGGGTTTCTTAATAAATATCAGCTAATCAATACATGCTTACTGAACACCTGCCCTAGGTCCTGTCTGAGGGGTTAGGGAGGCACTGCTGATTAAATGTGTTTATGGAATGATATGGAAAATCAGATTTTCTAGAATGTCACTGTTAGAAGGTCTTGGGTATTCAAAGTTCCTGTTTTACAAAGGAAGACACTGAGGCTCAAGAAGGTCATTGGATTTGCCCAAGGTCACTCAGCAAGTTACTAGCAGAGTTAAAGAGTTCTTCCTCTTAGTCTAATATTTGTCTATTTCATACCAGGACACCTGCATATTTCTATGGTATCTTTGGCCTGACACTTTATTATTATTAAGATATTGACATCTTTAGTAATCTGGGAAAAGACATTATTTTAATATTTTTCACATGTCTATCTCAGGCAGAGAAAGAGCGTGAGCATTTTGAGAAATGAGAAACCCAGTTTTTCCAGTGTGCATGTATCAAGAAGCAGAGTTTAGTTATACAATTCAGAACCATCCTGACCTGAAAGGGTCAACTGTGAAGGGTGGATTCCTTGTGCTGGGAAGTGAGACTGGAGATGATCTGCCAGCGAAAGAGCAGTGCAGGGGGCTTTCTGCAAGCTTTAGATTAGACGCTTTCTAAGCTTTCTTCCACATGGGGCAGGATGACATGACTAGCAACAAAGCAACTCTTAAAAGCTGGTGGAATGCGGTCCATCTGCGAGGACCAGAAGCTCATACTCAGGCCACTGGAAGGGTTCTGAACAACCTGCCCAGCTGTGGGTGGCGGCCCTATGACGTGTCCTGATGGAAACCCCTGAGAGGGCCACGGGCTCCAGCCCGGGCTTGCCCTCGAGAGGCTGACTGACTTCAGCTGTGGTGAGAAGCTATGGGATGACACTTTCCACCAAAGCCTGGAGATTCAAATCACGACCACCATCTGGTTTAACGGACACAGAGATGCAGCTCCCCTTTTCTCTCCTTGCAGAGATGGAAGCTCACCTTTTCAGAGAAAGGAAGCAATAAGGACCTGGTCATTTCACCCTTTCTATCAAATGACTTCAGTTGTATGAAACCCAAATGATGATGCTCTATTTTCTTTTACAGGACCATATTTTGAAGGAAGAAAATCTGAGGGATAAAGAATACTTAAACTCCTTTCTTAGGAACTTTGATATATTGGTAGCATTTCCTTGTCAGAGTTCTGTTTTGCCTTAACATGTTAAATATTTTGTTAACTCTTGAACAATGTGGGGCTTTAGAAGCACTGACTCCTGTGCAGTTAAAAATTCACATATAAGTTTATACTTAGCCCTTGTACCCATGGTTCCTCCTTATCCTCAGTTCCATTTCTGTGGATTCAACCAACCTCTGTGTAGAACTGTCATATTTACTACCAGAAAAAAATCCCTGTATTAGCAGACCTGTGCCATTCAAACCCATGCTGTTCAAGAGTCAACTGTACCAGTTTTTCCTGAAGTAGGTTTTACAATGCATTTCTCAGTCATTTTATGTAAATCAGGCGCTATAACGATGACTTTTGAAAAGTAGAACAGTACTATTTGAGTTTAAGAACTGTTTGGGAGAAAGGCTGTGGTGTTTGTTCTGCGTGTATGTGTGTGTGCTGCAGGACCACGTCACACAATTAGAGATGACTGAGCAAACTACCCAAGTAAACTTCTGATTTCTGAGCACCCTGATGAGAGCCATTCCAAAAGGATCATTCTTTACCTGAGGGAAAAAAGGGATCTCTGCGTCTTTATCAACCCTCTATCTAGAGGTCAGACAGAAGCTCATGCTTTCCTTTTACATGGTAAGAAGCAGAGCGATTTATTCCTTCTGATCCCATTGGTGCGCTCTCAATTTTGTATTCCCTTTTATACGCTTTACATGTGCCAGTCATTCTGCAAATCTGTTCCACGGTATCCACATTCTGTTTACAAATCAGCTAATAAAATGTAGGTGATTTCAGACAATTTAAATTTAGCTTATGTATTAGCTGGCATTTTCTAATACCTCTACTTACTCTGAAAACCATGTACTATTTAGTATGAATTAAATAAACCGCAGTCATATTCATGAGCCCACTCACAGCACAGTTTAGGAGAGAAAAAAGCTACTTAAGAAAAAAACACATCCCTATAAACTATTTTTAGGTTATTAGTCACAAATGATCAACTCTTTGCTAATTTTCAGATCTTTAAATTACTGATCTGAGAGTTCATATTTTATTTATTTCTACCCCTTAAAAACACTATGTGAGAACATTCTCAGACCAAGACTTCCACCCATTTCCAATTGCGAAAATGATTCTGAGTCTACTTTTACTTCTGACTGATTACGTATATGTTATGGTGCAGAAGGTTTCTGAAGAATTTAATAGGTTAAAAATGACTTCAGGGACGTGATTACAAAGCTTCAGGACAAATCTCACATACTGAGTAGAGATGTTTTTAAAACTTAAGTTTTACAGATGAGAAGACACTTACAGAGGTTCAAGCCCTTGCCTGCTGGCTAGTAACTGGAGAACAAGGCCCCTGACTCTAGGGCCCTTTAAGAAACAGGAACATCCGGAAGCCCATCACTTCCTCCCGTGTGTGCTGATGGTAGTAGCCTTCACCATTTAAACCCAAGTAAGTAAATGCTATTTTAAGACCAGTGCTATTTTCAAAATGTGAGTACTATTCATTTTGATCTTTTTTTTTTTTTTCACTCTTTTTGTGCAGGGGACCTGTGTTTTTTTTCGCGTGCGTTTTTAAAAGTACACTCGTTCATGCTTGATCATCAAAGGCCCCGTTTCTATTCTCATGAGTTGAAAGTCAGCAGGGTTGTATTAAGAAACTGTTGTAAACCTGAGAATTATAAGCGAAAATTTATATATATATATATATTTTTGTACTTGCAAATGAAGAGCTACTACCTATTAACCTGCTCGGTAGGTTAGAAGTTAAGAGACTCAATTAGGCTCAGAAGTCAAGAGACTTCTTATGTGGCTCAGATGTGGAAAGGGGGGTGTGGGTTGAAAAACCTATTTTGCATTGATTCTTTTATGAGTCAGAATCTGACCCAGTGTAATATCAGAAGGGGAGTCTTGATTCAGAAAACCACTGAAACACAGGCTGCAAGTCAAGGCTCCCAAGTTGAGAGAAGGCTCCTGAACATCTCTGGAGCGCCTGACAGGGTGTGGTGCACACCCTCCTTCACGTCGCACTGGTTGCCACATCCCACAGACGTAAAGGACCAAAAGAACAAAACGGTTTGCCTACAGAAAAAAAAAAGAGAGAGAACCTAACAGAGCAAAGCTCTTATCAGGCTTTACTGGAGCTTTTCTAAGCCTATCAGAAAATTCTCTCCCTCAAGAAGTTCTTCACGTCTCCAGAAACGTGGTGGGGGGAGGGTCTGAGACTGACCCTCCGGCAGCCTTGAGTGCCAGCCCGGCTTCCTCGCTGGGGAGTGGAGGTGGCACTGAATCTGCCACCCATTTCTGACAGGGTCTGTCTGCCAGGCAGCCATGGAAACTGTCAAAATCACAACCTAAGGGTTTCCTGTGCTTGGTCCTACAGGATAAGTATCCTGCTAGGAAAATAAGCAGTAATTCAGGAAGTTCTAGATTAAGCACAGGCAAACAAGTTTCGGTATTACTGTACTCTCCGAGTTTTGAAATACTCCTTGGAGGCTACCCAGGAGACAAGGGCGTTGGGTAGATGAGGGGGGTATGCAGAGTTTCCTAAACACATCTGGCCACAAAGTCCTTTTCTTGAGGAGCATCTCAAAAGCCTAGGCCAAGAAATGACAAACTGGCTCACAGGCCAGTTTCCTTCTTTTGTAAATAAAGTCTTAGGGGAATATGGCTACACTTGTTCATTTACTTATTGTCTGTTGCTGCTTTAGCACGACTGTAGAGTGGAGAGTTGATACAGATCATGTGGCTTGAAAAGCCTAAATATTTACTATCTGGTCTTTCATGAAAAAAATTCCTGACTCCTTGTCTAGATTCCTATGGAATCCACTTTGGGAAATGTCAATTCCTAGGGGTAAAACCACTAGAGTAAGATACACAGTACAAATATCGTAGGCAGGTTTATATCCCATATTGCTTATCTATCTTGTGCTATGAAATGAAGATTTCATTTCATGAAACATTTCTCAACCTCTTCCCCGCTCCCCTCCTTGGACAAGGAGGGTATGAGCATCATAGTTGTGAGTAATGTGTTTGCTTGCCGTCCATGTAAACAATGGAACACCATAAGACACGATTAATCCATTTCTGTATGACTCTCCAGCCATTTGCACCCAAACTCCGATAGTATCAAAAGAGGTTTCCTTACTTGACTGGTTCCCATGACTCCCGCTCAAAGCCCCTGTGAATGGATTGTGCAATTGAGGACTCCATCAAATCCACATATCTAACCACAAGTGGGGCAAACAGGTCTTGCAGGTGTCTGTGAAATTTTCCATTGCACAAATTATCTAGAACAGATAAGCAAAAGCTCAGTAAGAATCCACGGTAGCTTTATCAGCATACAATGTTGACACAGAGAGGACTGTTTTCTCTTTTAAATATACTGCTTCTTAAAAAGCCAAAAAGGAGGAGGAAGAGGATGAAGATGAGGAGGAGGAGGATGGGAAGAAGAAGGAGGAGAAGCAAAGCAAAAGGTACATGAATGGCATCATGCTTCAATCTGCGTGGAAGGATAATGGAATTCAAAAACCTTTTACTCGTTTGTGTCACTCTCCAGAAAAGGGAAAAAAAGAATGCCCCTGTAAAGAACAACAAAAGTAAAAAGTGGTCCTTTTTTTTCCCGTTAGGTTTTCTTTATACCTGCTCCCTTTCCCTCCTTATGCTACCAGGAAGAAAGAATTCTGTATCCCTTCTTTCCTTCATCATTCTCTCTGAGGAGGACGGTCTATTTCATGGCTATGTGGTGCTCTAAGACACTCTGAAACACTTAGGTGTTACTTAGAGTGAAATTGTTTTTCATGTAGGAAGCATCTTTTGATTAAAAATTCAAAATGTGTAGAGCTGAAGTTAATTAGCTTGTTCAAGAGCAAATAAAACACACAGGCATGGGCACCCCTTTCTCACTGAGCTTGGGTTTTTCTGCCTAGTGAAGAGAGGGCTTCCTGCAACATGATGCTTGTTGGAAGAAAGGGAATTTTATCAGCTGTAACCTTTTTTTTTTTCTTTAAAGTAATCATAAGACTCGGAAGAACTGTGTCCAACGTGTAGCCTGCCCGGGATAAACACATTTGGGTCATCAGTTATCTGCACACTACTTAAGCCAGTCAAAGAGTCAGAGATGATACATACAATCAGTCCGGAGAAAATCATTCAGCAGCTGAAACAGCGGGAAGCTGTCCCACGTGTCTGGGGGCTGCACTTCCAACGCCGCATCCATGTCCACTGCAAAGAGTGACAGGAACGTCTCGGCATGTTCCACCATCAAGTCTGACCACCATGCGAAGGCCTTTGAGATGTGGCAGAAAAACAACAGATAAAGAGGTGATGAGCTTTTTGTCTCCGACCTAAGATGTGAAGTCAAGCCCTGGATGTTAAAGACTGATTGTGCATCCAGCAGGGTTTGGTAATTTTATTGTAAAGAGAACAGCACTTTGGGATATAGCTGGGCCTCTACGTGGCCCAGGGCAATAGTTTTCATGATTCCAGGCCTGCTTTAGAAATCTGCAGCTGTAGAAATGACAAGCACAGAACTTCTGTTCAATTTACAATAACTCAGTACCTTTTGAGTCATGCTCTTTATCACTCTTGTTGACTAGTTCTTGCTCTAAAGTATTAGAATTTGGGAGTTTCTTCACTGTGTTTATGGGTTTTCTGCTGGTCTAACTTGAAAATTGATAATTATTGTTTATTATCTCTACGCATCTGGGGCCTCATTGTCTGTGGTTTCGTACAAGCTCAGCAACTCACGTTTTCCCTACACATTGGAAATGTTACTCCTATTTCATACCAAGGCAAAGGAAACCATTGTATTGTCGCAAAACTTTTGAGCTGAAATCTCTTTAAGCAAGGAGCCTCTGGTTTTGCATCCTGTCTATAGGAAAGATCAGGCTTTAAGCTACGAGACACTCAGTAAGATTAGGACTTACTTTTCTAAGGGTTGGACACATATGTACATTGAAAACCAAAAATATCAGTGAAGTAACTCATTTTCATGCACATGGGTCCTTGGAAATCACTGTGCAGGGTCTCAGAGGTGACATTCACATCAGATGGGCCAGATGTGAATGCAATTCAAAGGCATGCATGCATGTTGACTAATCATTTCTGGCAGGGAGCATGCAGAATGAGTGGCAGTGTCAACAGGCCCCCTTTTTATCCCCTTTTGCTGATTTCAAAGAGAGCAGAAAAACAAAAACAATTTGCCAGCCCTTTTTATTCCCCTACCTCCCCAACCCGTGCCATAAAGTATTTACATGGGAAACACTTTCCAGAGCATTCATCGAAAAAAAGATGGGAAGGCATTTCAAAACATGAAAGATGATTATGGAAATAATTCCATAAATAAAAGAGGTTGTTCAATGGCCAAGCTCTTCTGTGACCTCTTAGTTATCTGGGGATATTCTAACAGCCACCAGGAGGCAGAATAGGGGTCCACCTCTCTTCTTTCATGAGATTTCATTTTACTTACTTCTCCTTTATCAACATGTGGCTGGTTTGCAAATTAAATGGAAAAAATCAAGTCATGGACCATTCTGCAAGGGCAGCTTGGCTGGAAATAGACACCTGCTGTTTCCATTTTAACTTACAGTAAAACCTCAGTGATTCAGAGTAAGGGAAGAGAAGAGATGCTGGTCTGTCAGCAAAAAAACCTCAATTACTGGGCTTTCTAAAAAAGAACGATCATTTAGCTGCTTTTCAAAGCAGTCTATACCTGGGAGCCCAAGTACAAAGTATTCATTGATTAGCTATTACTAAGCATATGGTAAACTTAAAAGTATTTTCTAAATTTCAAATAATTGTAGATAAACTGACTTATAAATTGAAGTAAAAGAGATGGCAGCTTTAATTTCATAGATCCTGGGATAAAACTTGGAAGAAGAGCCTTTAGAATTTCTAGAGAAAGTTGAGATCATGTCAAACATTTTACTGAAGGGCAATTAAAAGAGCCACATCTGTAGTTGAATTGTCACAAATTAGGAGGAATTGGGTCTGAATCGATGAGATTTTACTGCAGTTTTACCACCTGAGGATGACAGCCCTGGGGTCTGGGGCTTCTTTCACTGACTACCTGGCTAAATCCAGCGAGGGAGAAACCCTCCATTCCTCCCCCAGAGCTCTCCTAGCCATCTGCCTTCTAGGCAGAGACCTTCTGAACCCTCGAGCTTGCTAGAGTTCCACTGCTGCCACCCAGCCCTATGTGGAGGGCTGATTCTCATCAGTTCTGATGGAGGATATCTGCAGTAATCACAAAGGCGCATCAAATGCTGGCTGCTACTTATGCTTTAGCCATTTGTTTCCCTTCACATCTTCAGAGTGAGTTCAAAAGAATAGTAACTGGGGAGACTGAAATGCCTTCCCAGACACAATTTGGCTCTAGGGTGACAAGAAAACAAAACAAAACAAAACACAAAATGAAACAAAACAAAAACTAATCCTAAATGCCTAAAATAAAAATTTTCTCACACCAACCTCTTATCTGGTTCTTACCAGCTTTATTGAAAAGTTGCAAACCAGAGGCCTTAAGAAGCACCCATTTTTACTCTCTACAGAAAATTTAGTCCCTTGTTAGAATCTGATAAATTGTTGAGAAATTATCTACAGTTGTTATATTAATAATCATATAGATTGGCAGCCCTGTGAAGAACAATGACTACTGCAATATGAATTATTACCATTAATATCTGGCAGAGAAACCTGGTATTCTAGTGTAGGAAGAGAGATTAAATAGGGGGGTTGTTGGAGAAGTGAAGTCCAAATTTATTTTTCTATACCCACAGTAATTCTTTCAGAACCTCATAATCAAACTGACTCACTGAGAAGGAGAAAAAGATTTAATCACCAAAAAAGCCATTTCTTAATTTTAATCAAATGAACAGAGTCTGTGTACCTGGACTGGGCAAGGCAAAGGTTTAAAATAAAATAACAATGACATCTATATTTACTTTATACTTGCTCATACAGGTGAATTGTATTTTTGTACGTGTCTATGCGTGTCTAAAATCTTCAGAAATCTTTTCCAAAGACAAGAAGGAGTTGTACTTTGGTTTCTAGATACTTACCCAGCGTTTTTCATTATTTAAAGGCAAAGATGTACACTTTAGGAGTATGGTCAACCACACTGAACACACTCTATATTTTCTACACAAACTACATGTATATATGTACCCCTATGTGTACCACAATACATATATACATATACATACGTATACATAGAGAGAGAGATTGGGAAAGTGAAGTTAACAGTACATGAAGGTATAATTCCTGTGTGTGTGCGGGTGTGTATATGCACATAACTCAGGCTCTGAGAGCAGAATTATGTTGTAACTTGGAGATTCAGGTGATAACTGCTACCATCTACTGCGTGTGTGTGTGTGTGCACATGACAATATTCTTAGCTGGTGGGGATTGTGTTTTCTCCTGAAATATTTAATTACTTTATATTGGAATTCAAAGTAGTTTTAGGGATTATTGACTTCTGTGGGGGAGGGGATCCCATTTGTCACTTTTATTAGCGTGGTGCCACCAAACAGCATGACTGCGAAGGTCCAGCTAAGATTCATGTTTAGGATTTACTGATTTTCTAGAGTTCACTGGGCACCTAGAGAAGATGGCAGTGAGTACTGGTCAGGAGGAAAAAAATGTCATCCTTTATCCTTCTGGCAGCAAAACCTCACCCTCTCATCCTCGGTGTGCCACGGCAAATTTTACTTCTTTAGTAGGAGCTAAGGGTCCCTTGAGCAGGTGTTACCCTGAAATCAGCTGGACAGTTTAAAAAAAAATCACCAGGGCTGAGGGAAATGCCTCTGTGCTCACAGATGGGTAGTTTTTGATCAACTGAGTAATGCAGTTTTGTGATTGGGTGAAAGGACTGATTTCAGAAATAAACCTCTACATTTATCAAAAAGCAAACTTTTGGGCCTCTGAATTCCAAAGTATACCAAAGTCTTCATTCCTCACTTCCAAAGTCAGTAAATGAGAACAGAACTGAATTTATTTCTGCCCTATTTATGAATGGCTTTTGAACATGTAAGATTCAAATACTTTTGTGATGATGGTTATGAGGGTAGTTTAAGATGGTGATTAGTACTGAGTGAAGAAGGGCTTTTTGGAAAACTGGGGAAAAGAGGCTTCTTTGGAATATGAACTTCTCTTTGGTACCACTTGTGAGTCATTTGGGAAAATGTTCTCCTTTCTCAGACTGCAGTAGCCTCAGAAAATAACTTGATTAAATCAAGCATATGTGTCCATTTCCTTCTTCAATCATTCACTGAAAGAAAACCATCTGCTTTGTATCCATGTCTTCAAAAATCTGGTCTGAAATATTGGGAAAAGCCTCAACACCCAAATCAGGAAAGGACTGGCCAGATCCCTCCATGCCTCTGGAGATGATTCTGCGGACACCCAGAAAAGAACATACTTACCATCACAATGAACCCCAGATGCCCCCATCTGAAAAGAACATCACATAGGATAGAGTAGAATAAAAAACTCTAGCCCAACTTAATTTTCTGTCTGAAGGTGTCTACATTTGGAGGGTGTTGACTTGGCCCCTCTTCTCACTCCTGGCTGTGCATTTGCTGGGTGTTGCAGGAGTTAGTTGCACCTACCTCAAGGGGTCTTCACCCCATTCTCAGTGAGGGTTTGGGGGACATCATGATTCGTTGGCACTCTCTCTATATATAAATACTGTATATATGGTTCACATACAGACAGTTGTAGAGGAAGATTAGTATCACTCTGGCTAGCTACTGGTAACTAGGCTCAGTACTCATCTGCTGGGATGAAGGTAAGTACAGACGGACAGAGGAGCTACAACACGCTAAGGGGACAGAGTCAAGGCAGCGAGGAGGCGTGTGTTGGGATGTAACCGCAGTCATCGTTAAGTATATCAATTGCTTCATGCACGCACAAGAGAATCACCCACATTGACCCTGCCGTGGAAGGCCACCCATTTCACAAGCAGTCCACTGGAAATTGCTGTTACATTCCTTGGGTCAGTGTTAGGAAGCAGGGGCACTGGGAAAAGTCCCATTAGAAGACATGGTACTGGAAGGGCATGCACAGACTATGACAGCAGGTGGCTGACTCACTCATTTGGGTCACATACCTCTTTTCCCTGCCACGATCAGCCAAGATTGAGTGGAACAGTAGAAAAACAGGGAGGAAATTTAAATATGCAATCAGGCATTAGTTGGGATGATTGTCTTTATGGTGTATTATTTAACTATACTGTTGATTTTCATTTACTCATGGGAATTAGCATTTTAGGTGCCTTTGACATTACTTTTTTTGATGCGCTCTTTTCCCCCTTGTAGATCTGGTTGGAGGGGAAGAGTGAGCATGAGTGAGGTTTTTTAAATAGGCGATTTTAAGAGAAATGCTTTTAAATCTCAGTTTTGAAACAAGTGGTGTAACAGTTTGATCCTAAGGAAATCTTGGAATCTTTTCTTGGAAGGGGTGGGTTGTTTAAGTCCTTACAGGTTTGGGATTGAATTAGCCTCTAAATCCCTCAGTGTATAATTATCAAAATAATAATTTTGACAGTGGCTAGTTAAAAAAAACAGTAAGCTGTATTTATTTAGATGTAGGTTGGAGAATCAACAAGTTGAACAACACAGAATAATTTGTTTCTGTCACTGAGTTTAGCAACCCAGGTCATCTGAGATTAACAAATGAAGACTCTAGGGCGAGTAGACTAAGTTACAGAGATAAATTCAAAAAGACGGCTCTCAATCCACACACCAAATAAAATAAATCAAAACAACAGTGGTAGCAACAGAAACAGCCACAAAAGACCAAAAAGTATTTCATATGTTCCTGACAATAACCATATGCTGCTTGAATAATTATCTCAAAGATATACTCACCTCTTTGGCTTGTTGCTAGAAATATCTGAAAACTCAAGCTGAAACGTACATCACACAACCCACTTTTTGGCTGTTTTAAACAACCCTGTAAAGGATCCTCCTTGCAAAACTGCCACTTTCACTTGCTTCACAAGGTCAGTTAAAAGAAAACAGGAGTTAAGACACTGTATTCACAAAGTTGCCAGTAGAATCAGCTGTGCAGCATCTTCTGAGGAACGAGAGACCCTGCCCCCCTGGCACCTGCTTACCTCTGCGTGGTGCTCTTCGTTCTGCTGAAGAACTTCAATGACTAGTTCAGCAAGACGTATTGTATCTTCCAGCTTTTTGGCAGGAGTGATTAACCGGCCTACATTTTCTGTAGTACAAGAATTTGTGTTAAAATTCAGTGAAAGTGGTGGGCTAACTTTGTGGCCGTTAGAACTAGTGGATAAGAAATTCCAAAGATTATCCCCCCGCCCTTTTTTTTTAAGGTTTCATGCAAATGTTAAGTGCCATATAATTAGTAGTGAGCAAACCAGAAAGCCATTTTATTAATATTATCACCATCATTATTATAATACATACTAAGAGAAAGCAGTGCTCCAGCTTCCAATTTGCTTATTAAAGCTGTATGAAGACTATGACAGCCCGTTACAAATTGAGTGACATTTTGTACACATGTTCTTTAAAGACAGCATAAATGGACTATCGTATATCCCTCTCTAGGCAGTGTTTCTGCTACCTGAGTTGGGAAGATGGAACAGAAGCTTAGTCTTGATTGCTGCTCCATCTGTTTCCTGGCTTTGTCCCTAAACAATACAACAGCACTGTTTTTCATTCAAGGTCTGCATGTTTAACAGGTATTGGAATGTTCATTTTAAAAAAGCAGACTTAAAGGTCTGGCTGTTTTAAGTTGTCCAGGGAGGAGACTGAAAATCAATGGACATTCCCAGGCCATTAAATAGAAGGCAGGATAGAATTTTTAAAAGAACATAGGGTGTAGCGTATTGGATGAAGTGGTTTGTCCCACTGGTTTGTACAAGTGAAATTTTATCAGTGAGATGGCAACAATGCACTTTGGGTTCTACTGTGTTGAAAGGGCTTTTATTGCACTTAAGAACTAGCTGAACCCTGGTTTCCAAACTCTGGTTTTCATTTTATCCTTTATAGAGCTAAATTCACGAAGGTTTGGCAATGTTATTATGTTACAAAGAACTGTATTTTTTTGTTTCCTGTTGGGGTGTGGCAAAGAGTAATATTTGAAACAAAGATTTCCTAAGCCAATGAAATGGCCTGAATTCAACCAGTCTAAACTCACAGGTGAACTTGTAGTTTGTGCTCAGACCCCGAAGCCTGAGTCATCTATAGCCCATGGTGTATAACAGCAATTAGGATCCTTTAGCACAATTCCACAAGGAGGGTATACGTGTGCACGAAAGGACTGCTGAAAGTTATTTCAATCTCCTCATCTGAAGCAGATACGTTCTGACTTCAGGGTTTTACTTGCCAGAGAAGGTAACTCAATACTTCACAGGAAGGGCTGGTGTGCTGTTGGTGGTTTGGTTGTGTGTGTTTGTCAGGGGAGTGGTAAACAAAATGGTAGGAGGTGGCTAATTTAAAAAGAAGAGAAACAAGTAGTTTCTCATAATATTTTCCTAATTTTTTGTGCATTTGTTATATAGGTGATGAACATGGAAGATGATTAATAATGTAGGATTTAACAACAAGAAAGAAAAATTCTGTGAAACACTAGGGCAAAAGGAGTGGTCCAGCCAATGGGAACTATGAATGATGGGTGGGGTTGGTCAGATAATTGAGGTGGTGCAAGTTTCACTCTAACAAGGCTGATGACTGGTGTGAAAATGAGCTTTTTGGAATCAGGCCAACAGAATGCTCCGTTGTCTTTGCCAGGTTCAGGTGGAAGTGTGGCTGCATAGAAGGTCAGGGCTTGACGGTGGGAGCTGTGGGGAAATAAATCTGCAGATTAGACAGAGAATCTCCACCCAGATAAGGAGATGTGCACAGCTCAGGGGCTATCTCACTGCCTGGTCCACAGCAATAATACCTGGAGAAAGACCGAGTGATGGGTTTGATACCTGTGCCTCTGCGGTGCCTGGTCTGTTTGTAATTTCACAAATGGACTATCGTAATTTCATTAGTAGACTTTCAGGCATTTCTAACAAACATACTGTGTATATATGTTGAGGTAATATGTGTAGAGTGAGGTATTTGCATTTTGATAGTAAATATGCACAGGCTACTTTTTTGTTAGTTGATATTCACATTTACACATCAATTTGCAAATTCCTCATCCTATGCTTATTACCTATTCGACACATACACCCACATACACACATCACACACTTACATACATTTTCTAGTAACCAGACAAGCCTGCACGTTAATACAAATCTGCAGGAAATCCCACTTGGGGCACATCTTTGAAATCTCTTACTTACAAAACAGAGAATAGTATCCTTTTGGGCAGAACACTTATCGAATCTAGGGAAATTCTAGATGTCCATGACATGTGGTGCAGTAGTGGAAATCATTCCCATCAATATTTTTATGTACTTTTATTTCAAAGATGTAAATGATTTTTGTGTTGGGAGAAATCCAAGATGCATAAGTTAGGATCACCTGAAGATTTGTTTTAATATGCAGTGCTCTGATATTGACTACCATATATATCAATAGATACACATAAAGTGTACATGTGCACACAATCTTCCTGTGAGTGTGTACACTTGTACACAAATATGTGTATGCCTGATGTATATATACAGACAGTATGTTTAATAAAATCTTTTGCAATTTTGCTTTAACCAGCAACCATTTCACGTAAGTAGGTTAAGTATGCTTGAATCTAGAATATTTGATCTTTCAATGAACCCATATAGCCAGACTTTCATTTATTATTAATTAGCTGCAATTGCATTATCTGTAGATCAAGCTACTATATTGAGACACTTTATTTTCCTCTTACTTGCACTGTTGACTCACTAGTTAGTAAAAATGGTACTAAAATCAACTTGTTTAAGATGTTGTCTTTAAAGAAAATATTGTGCAAAATCCTGTAGCCCCTCTTCCATCCCCCCAACAGAGATCAAGGAGAAATTTGTGCTTAGAAATGATTTTTTTGGGGGGGTCATGTCTGCTGTCTGCAATATCTGGAAACATACTGCAATATTCCTATCACCCAATCTTGTACTAGCTGGAGCACTGACACAGGGGAACTAAAAATACAATATACTTAGTAAACATTTCATACAACAGAATTGAAGCTCATAACATAGAAAAAAAATCATCATGCAAAATGTTATGCAACAATGTTATTTTGTGCTGACACTGAGATTTGAAAATGTTGCATATGTCAGACAGAGCTAGACAAAAAAAATGTGGACATTTGGAAATAATGCTCTCTTTTCAAGTCTCTCAAAACCTACGGTGTCAAACTTGAGAGTCTGAGCCTCAGGTTAGTATGCTAAACAAAATTTCCAGAGAAATGAACAGAAAAGCAAACTAAACTAGAAAGCTGTCGCATAAAGGAAACGTAAAAGTTTACAGTACTTGGTTTTGGCCTAGGCATGCCTTTGAGCCTCTGATATAACATGCTGGTCTGCGTTTGGGTGGGTGGAGGAGGCCCAGGAGGTGGCGGGGGAGCTGCTTGGGTAGGTGAGGAGAGACGGTTTAAAAAAAAAAAAAGTAAAGAGACAAAGTGACTATCACAAAGGTGACAAGTAAGATGACAAACTCTGAAAAGAACAACCGAACAAGCAAAAATGATCACACACGAATGGAGAGCTGCTGCTTTCCTGGTGTGACTGCAGCGTTACAGAGGTGTGACACTGCCTGTCGAGGGACGAGACTCTTACCACCTTACTGAGACACTCAGAGGCAGAATGCCTTCATCCGGATGGGAACATGTGGGTGATGGTGGCGGTACCACTGACCGAAAGAAGATAGACTTCTTGTACAGTAAAGCACACCTAAATGTTAACAGCTGCCTCCTCCTTCCAGATGTCCAGAAATAGCACTTGATGTCAACATAGTTGGGGGATATGACTTCTCATCCTCAAGAGGGTACTTAACTTCCTATGGAAGCTTCTCTCCTCTAGTAAGCCTTTCCAGGCTTCAGCTTCCTCCTCTATAAACTGAGACTATTAACGTCTTCTTTTTGTATACCATGAGGGGTTGCCAAGAACAGCAAAGAAAACAATGCATGGGATGGATCTCTGTAAAGCTTCAGGTGCCTACAAATCTTCACTGTTATCTCCCACGTGGTGAGAGGGCAGGAATTAATTGCTTTGCAAAAGCAGATGAAGGGCCATTATTAGTTCAATTGAGCTGGGGAATATTCTTGCTCCCTTTGTGGAATTTCAACATGTCAAAATCTGTCATTTTGTGGGAAAAAAAAAATGTGTGGTATCTGATTGTTTCCAGCTCATTTAATTATTTTCAATTTGGAATTCTCATGGCTTTTATATTGTGGGTTGAATCATATATAAAAACTTGCCAGCTTATCAAATATGTTACTTGCTATTCCAAATGTTAGAATACGGTAATCAGCACTTGACCCATCTGTCATGTGGTTTTACAGTATCAGCACAGCAAACATCCTATAACAATAGCCTCTCCTTCAACACAGGCGCTGAGCACCATCAGCTTCTGCCATTCTCTCTCTGTAATGAGTGTCTCATTAACCTCGGACCTGGTCCTTTCTCATGGTTTTCATTTATAAAGCAAGCTGTATGGTGAGGGGGACATACTACATTGCCAAGTCTGCTCCTTGGTTTGCTTGAATTTTTCAATTGGGAAAATGAAGTTTACTGCAGGCTTATAGGAAATGGAATTCTAGCAGCAATAATAAAAAAATACAAGAAATAAGGATAAATATAATATCTTGGCAAACCATCTCTTAAAAGCAAAAGTTGATATCATCCGTTTCTTGTGGGATCACCTCAATGTTTGAATTGAAGGACTAAAAAAATATTCTATTCCCCAGTCTCCTCTTATTTAAATTTTTTGTTTGGGAAAGAGTGTATGTAAATAGACTTTTTTAAAAAATCAGTTTTAAATGACAGCGATATAAAGGAAGGCAATTACTAACCTCTTCTTTATGAAAAAGAATTCTATATTTTATGTCTTGTTAAAATCTGCTTTTCCACCTACAGCGGGGTGCAAAGTTGGGAGCATTTCTGGTAACACCTTTTCTGGTTCTCTGAATGAATGTGTATTACCCGAGTGTGCAATTCTTAGGGAAACTCCTCATTTATTCTTTCCCAGATAACAGAATCTGTGTAAACCACTTCGTAAGTCACTTTATAAAACAATAAAATGCCCCAGGGCAGATCCGTAACCGGCAAGGCAGCAGATACATATTTCAGCTCAATGGGTCTCAATGAAAATTCGTAAAGGGATTCCCTCCTGCCAACTGTCTGTCCAGAATTCTGACAGTGAGGTTTGCCACCATAGAAAAACAAGCTCCCTATTTTTTTCCCCCTCACAGAGCAAAACAAAAACATCATACCTTGGTTTCCAACTTCATTTACCCAATTACCATTGCTCATGTTTACACAATTAAATCTGCTTGGCTTCCAGAGAGGGAGTTAAATGTGACTGCAGAAAAATAAAAAAGAGAATTCCTCTGCAGGCTCAGCTAAGCAAAGGAAGAGAGGCATCCAGGAGCGAGAGATTCTCCAATAGCCCTTAAATAACCTGACCAGCTCTGACTCCAGCAAGCCAGTTAATTGCCAGTTCCAGAAACACTGTATGAGAAATGGATATGATTGATGGAGAGCACACTTAAAACCAAGTTCCAACCTATATATGTTTTGCTAAAGATGCCTGTGTTTGTATTACGTTATTACTGGAAATAATTACCCTGGAGCAATTCACTAGGATTTGGAGGTAGGGACGGATAAAAGCTAGAGTGGGAAGAGAAAGCCAAACAGATAGCCACAACATGCTTCCCAGAATATGCTGCCTACCTAAAACAATGACTCCATGGACCACACATTTCAAACAGGGTCATAATTCAATGTAACTTCTTCAGTGGGGCAGGCCATCATGTATACTTGATCCCCTGTACCTTCATCACTCCCTTTCAGAAGATTCCATTTTTAGGGCAATATAAAGTATATGTTACTAAAGACCAGTAGATGAGTCACTAATTGTTTACCCTTTTTATTGAAGTCATCTTTGACTTCTCCCCATAACGACATGGGTGGTGTGGCCTGTCCAATCTACCTCTACTGTGTCTCTTGATTTTACCTCCCACTATATGAGATCATGTGGCTATACTCTGGCTGACAAAGTAGATGTCCAACTCACGTCTCATCATCTCCACCTCAATGGTTGCTAAAGACTCCAAACCAGCCTTTAGTTTCTTCCCTCCCTTGTAGTTCATTGCTCACGCAGCATCCACAGTGATCTTCATACAGCACACATCTGAACCTATCATACTCTTGCTCAAAAGCCTTTAAGAGACTCCCTACCATGCCTCCCCCCAGCCCCAAGAGTTATACCGTCATAACAAAGACTCAACTCTTCCGTTGATACGTCTACTTGAGCTCTTATGGTCCCTGACTAACAGCCAATGATATGCATGTTTGTCTTTCCCTGTACCCAGTGAATTCTGTATTTCTAGGGACTAGTACGGTACCTGGCCCAGAGCAGGAAATTCTCAGTGGATTCAGTCCAATGGTGTGCTTTCATCGAAAACCAAACATTCTGTGGTTGCAATATGCATAAAAACTATATGGGCAACTTTCCTCTCTTAGCCAAAGCTCCTGGTTAGGGAGAAAATGCATGTAGCTGAATTGCTGAATAGCAAACATTGTAACTTCTACTTGTAAACCAGAGAATAACTTCAGGTGTTTAAATGCAATGAAAAATGGTTTAAGATAATGAAAAATCTTTGCATTCAAGTTAAAATATATTATATCCACAAGAAAGAAATAATGCTATTAAGATCTATACATACACACACACACAAAGATATATATATATAGACACACACACATACACATACATACATATATATATGTATTTTTCCTCCAATTTGGTATCTTTATATCCACGGTCAGCCTTGTCCTCGAGACTGAGCTGTTGTACCTAAGAAAAGTAAACTTAATTCTGGAGAGACACAGTAGTGGACAACTGCTATTCTTGTATGTGCAGTTGCCTTGCTTAGAATTGCCTCTCTTTCACTCTATGTCGCTTTAGTGGGAATGTTAAGCAATGAATCCTAAATAGGATCAGCCATGTGAGCTAAGCCAGGGCAACCATAACACCCCACGTCATCATGGGTATTTTGATTGACTCAGGGACTAACATGTGACCCAAGCTTGGCCAATAGGAGTGTTCTCTGGAACTGTACACAGTTTCATAGAGAGGAAACCTCCTTTTTCCTCGTGCCTCAGCATCTGGGATAAAAACCTGGTGGTATCTGTGGCTATTTTGCCCCCAACCCCTGCTGTCATGACAGTCACATTAAAGAAGACTGAGAGCAGCTGGAGAGATCAAGACACAGTAAAAGCCTTTATTTCTGAGTCTGATCCCTCCATGCCTTTCCTAGCTACACAGGCCAAAAATGACCTTTTCTTGCTTAAGCTACTTACAGTGGTGGTGGTGGTTTTTGAACACTTGCTCTAGTAAGACTACTTATTTAATAAGTACTATTAAATATTCACCCAGTCCCCAAAGAAACGTTCACTTATATGATTGTGGGTGCTCTAGGACAGACTCTGGGACATCTGGTTGGGTAAGGAATACCCCCGGCAGTGCTAGGGAATCAGCCCTGGGCGTCAGCACATCCTCCTCCGCCATGCCCAGGTGAAATCCCTGTGTGTGGCATCCCTGCAGCATCCTGCATCTCCCTCTAAAACACAGTCTCCAGATGAAATCACTTGTCTTACTGCCTGTCCTCTCCCTGAGAAGTTTACTGGGAGCGGCCTGAGGGCAAGGGACTGGGCTGCTTTTTCTCATGGCTCCCTTCCTTGGCTCCTGACCCAGTTCCTGGAACTCAATGGGTATTTAACACATGTGGAACTATATTGTAACATTTTCTTTTGAAATTTATGATAAAGAGATAAATCGGCTGCTTCTTACAGTCCACTGACATTCAAACCGCAGCCCCTGCTGCAGCGGCTTCATCATCAGTGTGTTAGAAATGCAGATTTCCATGCCCCTCTCCAGACCTACCAAATCAGAGTGTACATTTTAACGAGATCCCCGGAGATTTGTATAAAGATTAAATTTTGAGAAGCACTGCTTTCTGTTCCATTTCTGAAATCCAATAATATGTCTATATTGTACATTTGGATTTGGGGATTTCCTTTTAAATAATAATATACCAATAATGACATACTTTATGTTTATAATAACATATATAAAACTTTGTCTCTATAGATAGATAGTAATGAGGGCTTATTATGTACCAGGCACTGTGTTAAGAGCTCTGCTGGAAATGTATGTTTTAATCTTTGCAACAACACTTTAAGAGGAGGAAACATTATTAGCCCCTTTTACAGAAATCAAAGGGGCTTCCCAGGTGGTGCTAGTGGTAAAGAATCTGCCTGCCAATGCAGGAGGCATAAGAAAGACGCAGGTTTGATTCCTGGGTTGGGAAGATACCTGGTGGAGGAAATGGCAACCCACTCCAG